CCACTTTCTCCGGAAGTTGGCGCCGCTTCTGACAGCACTGGGCCGTATTGCTGTGTACAACGGCTTCATACAACGAACCCTGGAGTACTGCTGTCTAGTCTGGATGGGGGCTCTAAAGCTTCTAGGCCTTGGAGTCTCCGTACCAAGCCTGGAGCATAGGCGCAGGGTGGCGGCCCTGAGCTTCCTGTACAAGCTCTGCTTCCTTCCACCGACGAGCCACTTGAAAGCAATTATGCCCAAACCTCTCCAGCTGGCGGATGAAACCCCCTACAGCCGTCTCACTGCCCAGGGACGCCAATAACATTACTTTCCCTTGTGCCTGCCTTGCCGTTCCCGCTCAACCATGGCCAATGCTCTCCCTGCCTGCGTACTGAGCGCATGAAACTCCCTACCCTCGGAGAATCCTCACACAGTAGCCAAACAATGACGGGATGCTGCAGTTCAAGAAGATGGTCCACCTTCATCTGTTGACCAGCAACCGGATGCAAGCAAGTCTTGTAAGCCTGCTACATGAACTTGCTGAACTACACGCTCTCATGTGCTCTCTTTTTCAATCCCCCCCTCCCTCCCCCTCCCCCCGCTTCCCCCGTTCTTTCTCTTTCCCTCAAACTTCCATTTATCTGGTGCGTCCAGAGCATGGCGATGTCTAGACCAGTTGGTCGATGGACCGCCTGGGCCCCACCACCATGGTTGCTGCATGTTCCCATTGCGTGAACCACATGGCTTTTAGTAAAAATATAAAAGGACTCAGTGTTCCTCCTCCCTCTGGGTCACCTTGTTTTTACCAGCTGCATTATCAACGAACTGCATTTACTGTGGACGACCGCTGGCGACAAAGGCATACTGGTATGGCAGTTTGGCATCTTCGAAAACCTTCTCGTTACACGGAATGCTGCTTATCCCCTTCATTACGCCAGTAGGGATAATCTTCAGGATTTTTGGTGGGTGGTTTGACTGCAAGTCCATTATATATGATGGGGTGCTATTCTGTTTGCGATAAGATTGGTAGGTACTCGGGTGAGTTCCGCATCATGCCCGGAGACGTGGCTCAGAATGCTGAAACCATCATAGCTGCATAATCTGACGCTTTTTTCCTGAAGAAGAAGCCTCAGTTTAATTAGGATGTATTCACCCACCAACTCGCACACTTTGGCGACAGCAAACGATCCCATCTTTACTTTAAAAGCGGTATTGTTCTCTTTCTTCAGCCATGCTTCGCCGCAGTCAAAATTCAAAGAATTCTTGGCCTGCAGCATTATGTCACCATCTGTCTGGAGAATTTTGACATACAACCGGGCATAAGATAATGCATCTAGTAAGAGCTTTCTGGTGATCGATGGATAATAATTGGCTAAAGGGATCACCAGAAATTCTTTGGCTTCTCCTTGAAGTAGCGGAGCCAGTTTACGACCGACTTTCAGTTGTGCCACAAGTTGGGGCTCATGGTACCGCATAGCATGCCAAGGATCCCATCTAAAACTGCCTGGCTGACCATGCCTATTTTACATGTCGCGGTAGGTTTTAGCTGGCAGCGGAGGAAGTCAGTGAACCTGGTCTTAGTGTCTTTCCATGTTACAAAAAAACACTGCGTCTTAGCAAGTAACCAATCTCATATCATCTAAGCCAAGCTCTGCAGCGGTCTTCACTGCTTTGGCATTGATGTCGCTGTAGGTCTCATCTGAAAAAAAAACGGGTATTTCTTGGTGATATTCTTGCGCAGTAGGATCTGATACTTTTCGGTAAGCGTACAATACAGGTTGCGAAACTCATTGGCTGAAACTTCCACCTGCGTTAAATGATAATTGATATATTTGCCCCCCATTCGGTGCGATACTGGATAGCTTCTTCTGCTCCAGAGCCGGGCCAGCCGAGTCAGCGACCCGGTTTGGGCATATTTGAACCCGTTTGGAAAAAGAACACGGGTGACCCGGTTGGGAATATATAGTCAATATACATCGGGGAGTCTTAAATAGTTACAACTCCGTAATGCAGTAGCCACACTTGGACGGACCCGGCGCTGGCCCGGTTGCATGGGTTGTGCCAGGTACAAGTGTGCCTGATTGGTTTGAAATCCTAGTGCAGACACTGCATAGGTGCACTCACAGTTCTCAAATGTGCCGCAGTTCTTGAAAGTCAACGACATATGCATACTTACACGGTCTGTCGAATTAACCTGCGCTTTAGCATTGCACAATATCTCAGCACACTCAGGAAAGCCTTCCTTGCAGGCTAGGTGGAGAGGTGTACGACCCGCCTAAAGCACACAAACAGTCACCAACAGGACTATTCAAGAGTTGAAGGTGATGAAAAGGGACCAAAAGTCTAAAGAAAAATTGACTGCCACTACCAGGATTTAAACACACGGCGAGGAGACAACAATTTGATAACCGCAATCAATAAAACTAGCTGAACCAACATTTGTGTACTTTATTCATGCAATGTACAAAACGGTGGAGACGATGTGCAATAAAACGATGAAAATATGAAGAAATGGTGTAGGGAAAAAAGATGATGAGTGTTGTATGAAAACTTGTTTGAATCCATATTTTTCCCTACACCATTTCTTCATATTTTCATCGTTTTATTGCACATCGTCTCCACCTTTTTTTACATTGCATGAATAAAGTACACAAATGTCGGTTCAGCTAGTTTTATTGATTGCGACTACCAGGATTCGAAAAATTTAGACCAGCGATGTTCAAACCACAGAGCTATGGTATAGCTGTCATCTCACGAGAGACGGTTCAATAATATATTCAGCCTAAAAAAACTCACACTTCCACTTACACTACCCAGGCTGGGGGGGGGGAGGAGGGAGGATGGGAGGGGGAGGATGGGAGGGGTTTCTTCTCCCACTATAGGCACACTCTTCGACGAGCTCAATCCCAAACTACTACTAGTACTTGAAAAACCGAAAGTATCAGACGCACATTGGTTGAGTGAGTTAAAAAGGGGATAAAAGGACTTCTAGAGATCCTTAGCATAAAGAGTGTAACATTAAAATTAACTTTCATGGCACTCACTCCCAGCCGTGAAAAATGATGTTAAAATATTTCCATTCTCTCTTTGTAAAGTAAAAGAAGAAAACACATGGGAACGAGTTATGATGCAACTATCCACGACTGCAACAAGATAATAAGTAAGTCTGAAATGGTTACACATTTGTGCCTAATGGTTAGCTGTTAGCCTAACTGTCGGTTAACAGTTATACCCTATAAGACTGAGACATAGAAACCTTTTGGTTTTGACGCCATTTATGTCTTTTTCAAGAATGTTCATGATGATGTACAAAATACTCACAACATTAATGACTAGTACAGTAGTAACATAAGCTGGGTAGCTATAAAGTGGAAATATTGTAGACCAGATCGAATTGACATGTCACTCAGTTATGTGAAAGTGACTGAAAAGGAATTTTAACCCTTTGCACATTGATTACCAGCACAGCCTGAAGCACAATTAGAAATTTCAGCACAATTTTCACCTTCAAATTGAGATCATAACTTTAGCTTCCTTCACTCGATTTTCACAATTTTGTACTCTTTGGAAAGCTCCTGGTGAGAACAACGCAATGATACCAGGTTCCACGGAGCAACCTCGACATACCAGCCGCAGGAACACAGCAAAGTCGTCCCCAAGCCTGGTATGCAAGTAAATTGGTCCCATCGACGCCATTTCACTCTCATCCATCGCAGAATGCACACATACTACGGACCATCAGCAAATCAAATTTCGGTTCCATTACGGACGTGCCAAACTGAAAGACTTTGCGAAAATTCGAATGAAAAAGAGGTTCAGCATGTAGCAGCAATTTTTGACTCCGCCACTCGAGTAAGTACTGCAGTCTGTAGTTCTTCTCGAGCTTGAGAAGTAAACATTTTAAGATGCGCTGTGGGTGTTGCATTATAGAAAGAGTACGTAAGCTTCGAATAACAGGATAGCAAGTCGATTGGTTGGACTCGCTTCTCCTCCTGGCTGAAGTTCACCGGGATAGAACAGAGTTGCTGGTGTTTCTCGCGGCCGTTGTACCGCTCCATCATGTACTAGTAACGTTCCTGTAGCTCCGTGCAAGACCACTGCTCCATGTACTAGTGTATGGAGCACGCGAGCAACATTCAAAGCTACTTTTCTGTTTGCAGGCCTTTTTCAGGCAAAATAAGCCCTAGTTTCGACTCTTTGAGTTCCTGTAGTGACGATTCTCGAATTTCACTGGAAAATTCAATTTGCTGGTGCTCCAAATTATTTTTGAGACATTCAACTTCAAGCCTCTACGTTACTGTGCCTTTTCTCACTCGCTCCAAAGGCACGCAAAAAAGGATTTTTCCCTGAGAATAGGTGCGTTAGCCACGGCCTGGAACAACATGTTACGATGAAGACCCAAGGAGACAATTTACTGGATCTGATTATGTCTGACTATATTTCTAATGTAACAGTCCGTTGCAAACCTCCCCTTGGTGCCTCGGATGTAACTCTCATGGCTGAATTTTCCATACAAGTGTCGGAGGAATGTCCCACGAAACGAGTATTCTGGCCCTACAACCTAGCGGACTGGTCTCAACTTTCTCATTTTTATCATCAATCTGACTAGACCGCAGCCATCAGTCAATGTCCCAACAAATCATGCCATAATGTCACCGACATCATTTCATAAGGCATGAAGCAATTCAGTCGCTTATTGACCTCATCATCAGTGAGCACGAGCGCGACCATCGCCAGGGGAGGCCTGTTACAACACGCTGCGGGCTAACTATTATCCAGGTTAGTTTATTCTGAAGCTCACTCTATAGTGTAGTCAGCGATGTTGTGCATGTTTTTTTAATTGCTGTTATGTGGCGTAAAAGAGCTAATTATTGCCATCTGCTCATGTATTCATTGGTTTGCCATATGTTTATGTGTGTGTTTTTTTATATGCAGTTGTGCGTGACACAGTTTTAGCATTATTTAAGACAAACGTCAACTGCACTGCTTGCCATCGACAGGCACCTCTACCGAAAACCACCCTCACGCGGCGCACCATCTTGGCTACCTACCCCAACAGTAGGTGGCAAATGGACTTGAAGAAGCTCCCGAGTGTACGGGGTTACGAGTACTGCTGCAATGTGGTGGACTGCTTCTCCAGGTGAGTAGCTCACAGTGCAACTTGTCTCTACAGTGTCAACACAATGTAATGTGGATAGGACGTGCAATGCTTGTTTTAAGTTAACTGAAAATGAATTGCCATATCAATTTGAAAAAGTGATTTCTATGCCTTTCCATGTGATTGATTTCAATTTGTGTAAAATTTAGGTTTGCTATGGGTGGCCCTATCAAGAGCAGGAGCGCTAAGGACGTCTGCAATGTTATTGTCAGCTGTATGTACAGGTGAGCTTGCCTTTCATGTATTTAAAATTGTCTGTTGTATTTCATTTAGTGTTTACTTACGTTGTGCTAATTGACTCGTTATTCAGTGCACCCCATGTCCTTTTGTGTGTTAGGTGGCATGATGGGTGATAACTTACAATAACTCTGGATTCCTGTGTATGCGTACGTGTATGTGTACATGTGTGTGTGTGTTTGTGTGTGTGTGTGTGCGTGTGCGTGCATGTGCGTGCGTGTGTGTGTGTGTATTGCTCATAGGTATGGTGCACCTCGTATATTGCAGACTGACAATGGCAGAGAGTTTAATAACTCTAGCCTAGCAGCTGTCATGGACGAAATGCGTGCACTGAAGATTAATGGACGGCCGTACCTTCCGCAATCACAAGGTCGTGTCGAGCGTCTTAATCAGACGCTAGCCAATTTTCTCCGCCGGGACCTCCAGAAGGAACCCGATTGGCCCTCTCGTCTGGAGTACTTTTACTTCACCTACAATTGCAGGTACCATCTCTACACTTACTACTTTCAAGTGGCTGACTCTGTGCGTCAGGTGAACAAGACCGTGTAATCCGTAGAATAGTTCCGGCCTCATGATGAACGCTTTGGAGCATGAAACTTGAGTTGAGCTAATTCTGTCCGCCTAATTTTTGTCCGTAACTGCAGGGTCCATCAATCTCTCAAGGGAAAGTGCCCCATTGAGGTGTACTTGAGAAGGCCCAACTTCAGCATCTTTGTTGAGCCTTCTCGCACACAGCTGACTGAAGATGAACGCCAGTATCTGGATGAGGCTCACCTTGATATTGACGGTGACTCTGATGTTGACGATAGCAGTGAGTTTCATAATCTTGATTAGCAATATATCCTCTGCTTTCTCAACTGCTTTCTTTGTTGAAAGTACATGTACATGCATGCTGGCTGATCAGTTGTGTTCAGTCATTCTTTTAATTTTGGGGCTGTGTGTTTTGTGCGGTGGCTTCTAGGTGTATCCAGTGATGTGCTTGGAATCACGGGCCCAGCTTATGATGCCTCCCATGCCCTTGGAGGTACGCTCGCTGCTGCAAGCATCTGTGAGCCTGGGTTGGAGGTCGTTGATAGTAAGCAGTGATGTCTCTAATGACTAGATCTTTATTCTACTTTTAATAATTATTGAACTTTTGTGGATATCATTAAATGTGGGTGTATTGTCCCTGGAGAGTGATTGTGTTATGTTTACGATCACTAACTATACTATTGTCTCCCTGTACAGATGTGTGTGGCAATGCCCTTAGCACAGCAGGTGCAACCTCATGTGCACCTAACTTTGAACTGGCAGCTGGTAAGTTGACAAAATAACGCTGATTATGATGACGTTGTGCTTTTCCAGTGTCATGTTGTTTGTTGTTTGTTTACAAGCTGTTTGAGTTTATTTGTCTTATTCACGAATTGATGGTTCTTTTGTTTCCTGTATTTTTAGATTACGACATGGATCTTGAGCCTTTGGATTCTCAAACAATCAACACAGGAAACTCATATGAGTGTGGTACGTGTACAGAAAATTGAATTACGACAATATGATTTTTGTGAACTGTCACTAATGTAGTTACCATATTTCTATACTTTTGTATGCCAAATGTTTCTATTTCCACTCGAAATCGTGTGTCTTGCACTTGCTTCATTCATGTAGGTCCACATGTGCCTAGCACAGCCATATCAGCTGCATGTTCAGACTCAGCAACCTCGTATGACCAAGGTAGGTTGCTTTATTTATTTTTTGCAGCACCATCTAACATGTGCTTGTACATACATAAGTCCTATGAGTGTGGTACTTGTACAGAAAATGGAATTACGGCAATATGATTTGTGTGAACTGGCAATGTAGCTACTTGATTTCTGTCCTTTGTTAAGAAAAAGTTTCTACTTCCACCCTGAATATGGTGTCTTGCGCTTGCTTCATTCATGTAGGTCGACATGCGCCTACCACAGCCGTATCAGCTGCCTCTTCAACCTCACCAACCTCGTGTGACCAAGGTAGGTTGCTTTTTTTATTATTTGACACACCATGTATTTTTAAACAGATTTCCTTGTCAATACCTATCTCATCTACAATGAGTATCTTCTTTTTTTAACAAGTGTGCATTTCATGAGTTTTTACCAATGTTTTATTTAATTGCGCTTTAATTCTTGTGTCTTTTCAGATGAAGCGTATGGTGACGCAGAGTCCTATCCTGTTGAACTTCAATGGGCGAATAACCCGGAGGGCCGGACAGAGCAGGCCCAGTATGCTGTGGGTGAAACCGTGTGGTTTTACCGCGCTGCCAATCTTGGCGGTGCTGCAGGTGTGGCTGCCCTTCGCCCACAGTGGTGCGAAGGTGTTGTCGTTCGCCATGATATGCAGGAGAGAGGATGCCTCCTGTATGAAGTTGAGGCCGATGATGGTGGAGCCAAAGCTTCTTTCGCAGGGGCTCATCTGCGGCCTCGTCACGTTTCCCCTGTGCACGTTTGGCACAACCAGTTTCTGGACCCCGTGCCAGAAGACTGGTACAGGGGTCCAGAGCCATACCGAGGACCCGCTCGCAAGCGGTATTATCGGTGATGATCTGTGTACATACTAGTACTACTAGTACTGTTCTTTCAATCTAACGAACACCTCGATAGGCATATTGCCTTTGGGTCATTTCATAATAATAACAATTCTCTGCATCAATTGTGCCTCTTTTCATTGTTCTTTTCTGTCCTGTAAATAAATCCTTGGCTCTCCATCAAAGCCTATTCCCTTTCCGGTTCCTGGTTCTTTCTTATTGTTTTCTTGCCGTGTGGGTGGGGGTGCCTGTGTGTGTGTGTTTTAATTTTGGACTGTGTATAGTGAATGCCTAATTGCCTGGTGTTGTCCACGTTAAGACTCTTTATAGTTGATTTCAAAGTTTGGACTCTGTACAGTGGATTTTGGACCAGTGGACTCTATATAGGGGTGAAGTCAATTGGCTGGACTCTATACAGGGAGTGATGTTTATCTAAACTTCGAGCTCACAGTTGGTTCCAAGTTTGGACTCCGTACAGTGGATTTTGGACCAATGGACTCTATATAGGGGTTGGACATCATATAGGGGCTGGACGCTCTACTGAGTCCAACATATATTTCTGACGTAACAGTCCGTTGCAAACCCTCCCTTGCCGCCTCGGATGTAACTTTGATAGCTGAATTTCCCACACAAGTGTCGGAGGAACCTCCAACGAAACTAGTAGTCTGGCGCTGCAACCTAGCGGACTGGCCTCGACTTTCTCATTTTTATCGTCAATCTGACTAGACCACAGCCATCAGTCAATGGCCCAACAAATCATGTCATAATGTCACCGAGATCATTACACAAGGCATGAAGCAATTCATACCATCTCGTGACCTTGTAACCCGCCTGTCTGACCCTCCTCGTAGGACTCCCGAATGTTCGGCACAGGTGAAGGCAAAACAGCAAGCTTAGGACCGCACCTGCACGACTCCTCATCCACAGCTACGACTGGAGGCCCTGGAGGCGACCATGAGTTGCACCCACTATCTGCGCCAGGCGCAGGCAATACGCCTTGCCATGCCGAGGGACAACCTTTCACGTGGGAGCATGTTATATCGAGAGTGGTGGTCCACACTGAAGCAAGCAGGTGGTAGTGGGCGCAGCACAACCATACCAACTCTTGTTGACACTATAACGGCATCCGGGTTACGGCCAACTCCCAGAAAGCAGAGCACTTTGGCATGTTCTTTTCGTCAAAGTGCAGCCTCGGAGCAGATGACTTTCCAAACGATCTGCCATCAGATGATCTGCCACTTATAACACCTCGCACCGAGTCTCGGCTCACTACCGTCCACTTTCAAACGGATACTGTCACAAGAAAGCTCAGAAGACTGAACCCCATGAAAGTCACAGGGTGCTGAAGAATTGTGCCAACGAGCTCTGCTTACCTGTCGCCTGGCTGTTCTCCTTGTGCTTTCGGCAGCAAGTGCAACCGAGGCTGTGGAAGGTCGCCCGGGTTGTTCCGATTCGCAAGAAGAAAGCTAGATCAGACCTGCGCAACTGTCACCCGGTGTGTCTCCTCTGCATTCCCTCCAATACAATGGAATGAATTGGCAACCACTGTATCATGAACTTTTTCTCTAAGCACGGTGTAATCTCCTCTCGGCAATATGGCTTCCGGAAGGGACTCGACAAATCAGATCTATTAATGAAGCTGCACAACGACTGGTCATCCACTGTGGCGAGCGGCGGCATGGTACATGTACTGGCCATCGACATCGCCGGTTCGACAGGGTTTCAAATCGAGGTGTCCTCCATAAAGCAGAGGCATGCGGCATCAGTGGTCCGCTCCTTGACTGGCTCTAAAACTACCTCTGCTGCCGACAACTACATGCTGTAGTCGGAGGACAACAGTCATTGGAATACCCTGTGGTTTCTGGGGTCCCCAAAAGCAGCATCCTGGGTCCAACCCTGTTTCTGGTTTACATAAACGACTGTGAGGAAATAATACCGGATAGCACCTCTCTGGGTGTATACGCAGATGATACCACAGTCTACCAATGCATTGCGGCCACGTGTGACATCCCGGAGAGTGCGACCCAGCTTCAGCTTGCCGTGGACTCCATCGCCCGATCGGGTGCTGAGTGGATAATAGCTTTCGAACCGACCAAGTCTCAGGCACTCACGATTGACTTTCACCGTCCGCCAACACCTTTTGCCCACATACTGTTCAACGGTACCAGGGTGCCTGTAGTGGGCGAGATCAAGCTCCTCGGGGTTTTGTTCGACACAACACTGCGATTCTCGGCCCACATACGCCAGGTTGCCACCAGGGCCCTCCAACGCCTCCACTTTCTCCGGAAGTTGGCGCCGCTTCTGACAGCACTGGGCCGTATTGCTGTGTACAACGGCTTCATACAACGAACCCTGGAGTACTGCTGTCTAGTCTGGATGGGGGCTCTAAAGCTTCTAGGCCTTGGAGTCTCCGTACCAAGCCTGGAGCATAGGCGCAGGGTGGCGGCCCTGAGCTTCCTGTACAAGCTCTGCTTCCTTCCACCGACGAGCCACTTGAAAGCAATTATGCCCAAACCTCTCCAGCTGGCGGATGAAACCCCCTACAGCCGTCTCACTGCCCAGGGACGCCAATAACATTACTTTCCCTTGTGCCTGCCTTGCCGTTCCCGCTCAACCATGGCCAATGCTCTCCCTGCCTGCGTACTGAGCGCATGAAACTCCCTACCCTCGGAGAATCCTCACACAGTAGCCAAACAATGACGGGATGCTGCAGTTCAAGAAGATGGTCCACCTTCATCTGTTGACCAGCAACCGGATGCAAGCAAGTCTTGTAAGCCTGCTACATGAACTTGCTGAACTACACGCTCTCATGTGCTCTCTTTTTCAATCCCCCCCTCCCTCCCCCTCCCCCCGCTTCCCCCGTTCTTTCTCTTTCCCTCAAACTTCCATTTATCTGGTGCGTCCAGAGCATGGCGATGTCTAGACCAGTTGGTCGATGGACCGCCTGGGCCCCACCACCATGGTTGCTGCATGTTCCCATTGCGTGAACCACATGGCTTTTAGTAAAAATATAAAAGGACTCAGTGTTCCTCCTCCCTCTGGGTCACCTTGTTTTTACCAGCTGCATTATCAACGAACTGCATTTACTGTGGACGACCGCTGGCGACAAAGGCATACTGGTATGGCAGTTTGGCATCTTCGAAAACCTTCTCGTTACACGGAATGCTGCTTATCCCCTTCATTACGCCAGTAGGGATAATCTTCAGGATTTTTGGTGGGTGGTTTGACTGCAAGTCCATTATATATGATGGGGTGCTATTCTGTTTGCGATAAGATTGGTAGGTACTCGGGTGAGTTCCGCATCATGCCCGGAGACGTGGCTCAGAATGCTGAAACCATCATAGCTGCATAATCTGACGCTTTTTTCCTGAAGAAGAAGCCTCAGTTTAATTAGGATGTATTCACCCACCAACTCGCACACTTTGGCGACAGCAAACGATCCCATCTTTACTTTAAAAGCGGTATTGTTCTCTTTCTTCAGCCATGCTTCGCCGCAGTCAAAATTCAAAGAATTCTTGGCCTGCAGCATTATGTCACCATCTGTCTGGAGAATTTTGACATACAACCGGGCATAAGATAATGCATCTAGTAAGAGCTTTCTGGTGATCGATGGATAATAATTGGCTAAAGGGATCACCAGAAATTCTTTGGCTTCTCCTTGAAGTAGCGGAGCCAGTTTACGACCGACTTTCAGTTGTGCCACAAGTTGGGGCTCATGGTACCGCATAGCATGCCAAGGATCCCATCTAAAACTGCCTGGCTGACCATGCCTATTTTACATGTCGCGGTAGGTTTTAGCTGGCAGCGGAGGAAGTCAGTGAACCTGGTCTTAGTGTCTTTCCATGTTACAAAAAAACACTGCGTCTTAGCAAGTAACCAATCTCATATCATCTAAGCCAAGCTCTGCAGCGGTCTTCACTGCTTTGGCATTGATGTCGCTGTAGGTCTCATCTGAAAAAAAAACGGGTATTTCTTGGTGATATTCTTGCGCAGTAGGATCTGATACTTTTCGGTAAGCGTACAATACAGGTTGCGAAACTCATTGGCTGAAACTTCCACCTGCGTTAAATGATAATTGATATATTTGCCCCCCATTCGGTGCGATACTGGATAGCTTCTTCTGCTCCAGAGCCGGGCCAGCCGAGTCAGCGACCCGGTTTGGGCATATTTGAACCCGTTTGGAAAAAGAACACGGGTGACCCGGTTGGGAATATATAGTCAATATACATCGGGGAGTCTTAAATAGTTACAACTCCGTAATGCAGTAGCCACACTTGGACGGACCCGGCGCTGGCCCGGTTGCATGGGTTGTGCCAGGTACAAGTGTGCCTGATTGGTTTGAAATCCTAGTGCAGACACTGCATAGGTGCACTCACAGTTCTCAAATGTGCCGCAGTTCTTGAAAGTCAACGACATATGCATACTTACACGGTCTGTCGAATTAACCTGCGCTTTAGCATTGCACAATATCTCAGCACACTCAGGAAAGCCTTCCTTGCAGGCTAGGTGGAGAGGTGTACGACCCGCCTAAAGCACACAAACAGTCACCAACAGGACTATTCAAGAGTTGAAGGTGATGAAAAGGGACCAAAAGTCTAAAGAAAAATTGACTGCCACTACCAGGATTTAAACACACGGCGAGGAGACAACAATTTGATAACCGCAATCAATAAAACTAGCTGAACCAACATTTGTGTACTTTATTCATGCAATGTACAAAACGGTGGAGACGATGTGCAATAAAACGATGAAAATATGAAGAAATGGTGTAGGGAAAAAAGATGATGAGTGTTGTATGAAAACTTGTTTGAATCCATATTTTTCCCTACACCATTTCTTCATATTTTCATCGTTTTATTGCACATCGTCTCCACCTTTTTTTACATTGCATGAATAAAGTACACAAATGTCGGTTCAGCTAGTTTTATTGATTGCGACTACCAGGATTCGAAAAATTTAGACCAGCGATGTTCAAACCACAGAGCTATGGTATAGCTGTCATCTCACGAGAGAC